ACTCTGTAGCTCAGTATGCATGTGAGAGGTCCCCTGCTCCACACACACACACACACACACACACACACACACACACACACACACACACATACATATACAACACTCAGACTCCCTACAGGCGTTGTGTCACACCTTTTTAAAGCGTTTCCTCACACTCTTTGCTGCAAGCAGACGCAGGCACAGACGTTTAATTGTCTCTGGGACCAACAAATGTTTCTTTTGGGGGCTATGCTGACTGTTTTAAGGTTTAGGTGGTAACATCATCCATCTGCTAGGCCTGTCTGCTTCACAGCAGGGGGTGAGAGAGTCTGAAAACACCTCTAAAGAAAAATACCGGAAGTTTAAAGGTGATAAGGTGATAAGGTGATAAGCACTTACATGAACTTGCCTTTTAGACCTGTGTATAAATCACATTAAAGTCAATTATGTTTTATTATCATGGGACCAGTTCTCTACAACCGCTGTCACAAAGTGATTTTTACTGCACTGTAAGGAAACAAGCCTACAATATTCAAGAGATACGCCCAACATATCAGGTGATCACGATGGTGGGAAGGAAGAACTCCCCTTTAACATTAAGCAACCACCTGCAGAACCAGGCTCAGAGAGAGGCGGCTGTTCGCTATGACAAATCGGGACTGAGGAGACAGAGAAGGTAAAAAGAAGAGGGAATGAGACCAGGTACAACAAACAGGACAAAACAGAAGAGAAAGAAGACTGAAACCTGTGTCAAGTTTTGTTTTCTTCATCATTTTTGTCTCTCAATGGCAGCCTATGAAGTGTCGTTTGTTGCATTTTGAGTGGCCCAATGATTTATGTGATTGCATATGATGATGATTCATAACAATCTCCCTTCTTTTGGTGTTTTACTTTTAAAGGAATAGAATTAAAATTAAAATATTGATATCACTTTTAAGTTTGCACTCTAAATATGAAGCTAGAACTAGCTTAGATAGTTAGCTATGATTAGCTTTGCTTAGCATACAGACTTGATACTATAATACTATTTAATGAGCTTTATTCTGTATACACAGATCATGTAAGCAAGAAATATTCCTCATCAGCCCTAATCTAAACAACATTTTACATATACTGTAATATAGATCCAATTATTTACAGCCAAGAAGTTATTTTTGCAAAAGTTTGCTTAGCTGATGCCAAGTAGCAATGAAAAAGAAGCTAAAAGGAGTCAATCCAAACACCTAACTTATTTTCTTACAGCCTGGTACAAAAACTGTTTCCCTATTTCTAAAAACTATCTGATATAATATTCATATCAAAATCTATTCATGTTTAATGTTGTTAAACGGCCACTTTAAAATGTCATCGCTTTCAGCATTCAGTTGTACTAAAAATCACTTTAGTGAGTTGCTTCCTCAGTTTTTCCACTAAGTTAACTTTGCTTTCTAGGATATTTCTTGCCAAAATTAGCATGCCATACAACATTACACTAAACTACGTGTATGACAACATCTCATACAAATATGGTCATGCATGGTCAAGACTGATTACCAAACTACAAACTTAGAATTCATGAATCCACAGGGCTGTGTAAACACA